AAAAAAAAAAAAAAAAAAAAAAAAAAAAAAAAAGAAAAAGAAGCAAAAGACTAGTGGGAAGGACCAAACGAAGTGAAAATCTAAAACCCGGAAGATACACAAAATAAACGAAATAGGGAAAAATATATCAAGTGCAATCGGCGAGAGCGAACGCCGTGAAATTCAGCTATTAATTGTCGACCTAAGCCATCGGAATCCGGCAGCTGCCTCCGATCACAACAAGAACTCAGCAGCTCCAGGCATATTTCTATTTCCTGTTGTATCTGTTTTTTTTTTTTTTTTCTGTACGAACAATTTTGTGTGGAAAAACATTAATGAAGTGCTGTTGTCGGGACATACAGATGACAATCGATTGGTGACTTAATAATTTACTTGTTGGAGGCCTTTGATTCTGCAAGCTCTTGTCAGTTGTCATGCTTTAGTTTACTATTGGGTAATTTTCTGATTTTTCTTGAATTTTTTCTATTGATCTACATACCTACTTTGATGTCCTCTTTTCCTTTCTTTCTATGGAACAATACTATGATGAGGAGTCTTGGATATCCTTCCTGTTGGTGATTTTATGGAAAGGGGATCATCATTTGTTTTCATGAGAATTCGAAATAATATGTATTTGGTTTTGATCCCATGGAGGAAGTGAAAAATTGTTCTAATGGATGGTGAAAAGATCGTAGCTCTGTTTTTTTTTTTTTTTCCGGCGTCTCTCTTGATCGAATTATTTACTTGTGGTCGATCTGTTTATGGAAATACATTTTCTGGTCAAGATAGGTATAGTTTGTCAGAATTTGCAAAGATTAAATGTTTTTGAACAGACTGATTTCAAGATTTTGCTACAAATGCTGTAGCATTAACTATTAGTGCGCAACTCATCTTCTTTTTACTGTTACAGTTGGAGGCACTTATTTTGGTATGGATCCAGCTACAGTTGAACAACTAGATTTCGGGGAAGAAGAATACGATGGAAATCATAAGTTGCAATATCCTCAGGGTGGTGCTATACCCGCACTTGCTGACGAGGAAATGATTGGTGATGAGGATGAATATGATGACCTCTACAATGATGTTAACGTGGGAGAGGGTTTCCTTCAAATGCAGCGGTCTGAGTCACAAATACCTTCTGCTCCGGGAAACAGTGAGTTCCAAACTTCGAAAAATTCTGAAACCAGAGCCGATGCATTGCCCTCCAAAGACACAAACGATGCCCGGGTTGCCAATGCAGCCAAACTCCCTGAACAAACGACGAGCATGCCAATAAAACAAACTGTGGAGAGGGGAACACTTCCTGAAACGGCACAAAATTCTCAGTCCGGGCATTTGGTAGGAGGATATACCTATCAAGGATCAGCAGGCATACCTCATAATACTGCCCCAGACCGTGTGAACTGCTCAGTAAAAGCAACTGGGGATCCATCTATCCCGTTCCCTAACATGGGTGCCTCGAGCGGCGCTCAGCAGGTTCCTCCGCCTAACGTGACAACTTCAGACCGCCCAGTGGACTCCGAGTACCTGATACGGTCGTCCGTGGAAAACGGGAACACAATGTTGTTTGTAGGGGAACTGCACTGGTGGACCACGGATGCTGAACTGGAAAGCGTGCTCATTCATTACGGGAGGGTCAAGGAGATCAAGTTTTTCGATGAGAGGGCGAGTGGGAAATCGAAAGGGTACTGCCAGGTTGAGTTTTATGACGCTTGTGCAGCCTCCGCTTGCAAGGAAGGCATGAATGGTCACGTTTTCAACGGGCGGCCTTGTGTGGTCGCATTTGCCACCCCACAAACCATAAGGCAGATGGGTGCCTCCTACATGAACAAGAACCAAGCCCAGGCGCAGCATCAGCCGCAGCAGGGTAGGAATCCCCAACATGACGGCGCGGGGGGGAGGGGCAACGGGTCGAATTATTCAGGTGGAGACTCGGGTAGGAACTTTGGACGAGGCGGCTGGGGACGAGGGAATCAGTTGAATAATAGAGGCCCTGGGGCTGGGCCAATGAGAGGAAGAGGGGGCATGGGGAACCGAAATATGATGGGGACCGCACCCAATGCTGGAAATTTCGGTCAAGGCCTTAACGGGCCTGGTATCGGTGGCCCACCTGGGTTGATGCATCCTCAGGGGATGATGGGCCCTGGTTTTGACTTGGCGTTTATGGGAAGAGGTGCTGGTGGCTATGGGGGCTTCTCATCTCCCGCTTTCCCGGGTATGCTTCCCCCATTTCAAGGCATGAACTCGATGGGGGGGCTTCCGGGGGTGGCTCCTCATGTCAACCCAGCGTTTTTTGGTCGAGGAATGAGTCCGAGTGGGATGGGCATGATGGGGAATGCAGGGGGGATGGGTGGGCCCCACTCGGGGATGTGGAATGATGGTAATAACATGGGTGGGTGGGGAGGGCAGGAACATGGACGGGAGTCTAGTTATGCTGGTGAGGACAATGCATCTGAGTACGGGTATGGTGAGGTGAGTCATGACAAGGGCGTGAGGTCCAGTGGTGCTTCAAGAGACAAAGAAAGAAATTTGGATCGTGACTGGTCGAGTAACCCCGAGAAGAGGCATCGGGAGGAGAAGGAGCACGATGGGGAAAGATATGATAGGGAAAGTAGGTACAGGGAAGACAAGGATCGTTATCGAGACTATCGCCACAAGGATCGTGACTCGGGTTACGATGATGACTGGGATAGAGGACAATCCTCGAGGTCACGTAGCAGATCAGGTGCGGTGCCGGAAGACGATCACCACAGGTCTCGTTCTAGGGATGCTGATAATGGTAAGAGGAGACGTATGGCATCTGAATGATGTGATCAAGAGACAGCAGTTCATGAGCATCTTAAAGTTGGTACCATTGTTTGCTATCTGGATAATGTGAATGATTTCCAAGTGTTTCTTGTTGATTTTGGTACGGCATGCTGCGTGGTCCCTGGCTTTGATGAAGTAAGTACCCTTTAGTAGTGGACGCTGTGAAGAACAGATTTCTGGTGCTTTTCTACTTCAATAGAATTGAACCTTGGTGCTTCACTATATTTTTGTGCTAAATATTCAGTGATTTAAGTAGTATGATCACCTGAATTTGCTTGATGTGATGAATCTGTTCCTTGTGGATTGATCCATCTTCTGCTTCTAAATGCACAATTTCACGTTCGACGTTCTGTCTTCAACACTGATAAACGATTGTGACTAGTTACTATGTGTTTCTACTTTGTTGTTTGATGGTAAAGTAATTTCTGAGTTTGTGCATATCGCTATGATTTTCATATGGCCTCCTGGTCGTGTATTATTGTTGAGAAAGGGGTTTCTTCGATCATTCCACTCAGGAGCAGAGACCATTTGGTGCGCTCATGGATATCACTGAAATCCGTAACTTTTAGTGCCAAGAACCTTTAGTCATATATACAGTTTCTTTTGTACTACCTAATGGACGGAATAGTTTTGAGATATGTATCTTTATATGTGAAGAATAAGCCAATGATACACTATATATTCCCATGTAAAGAGTCTGTGATTAGCGTAGTCCATGTTGTATGTGTACATATGTAATCAGTTAGTTTGATAATGTGCATCTCATCCCTAAGCTTGTAAAAGCAATGTAGAAATCTTCAGACCAAGTGCTTTGTCATGTATACGGGGTCTGTGATCGAGTTGTATAAGGAAGCTGTATCTTAAATACGTTCTACGTGTTGAGGCGTCATGTAATAGAGAAAATTGTGCTTTCCCAGTGGGTAATTCTTGTAAGCTTGAATGCCCAGATAAAGTAGTCTATCAGCTGAATATCCACGACTAGCTTCAAGTTTGATTGTTGCCTTGTATTTTATGCTGTGTTTTATGGTTCATTAGTTATTCAGGTGTTTGAATACATCAATTTTATGTTCACTGATGTAATGGGTCTTTGTTTAGCTAGCTCTTATCGAAATATAGTTGATTCCTTATGTCTTGAAATGTTGCGTGGCTTTAGATTGTAAAGATTTCGGTCAGAGTTGTACGAGAAGGGGCGGGTGACGGTAACTAGCAGCTGTAAATGTGCAGCAGCTGTAAATGTGCAATAACTGTATAGACTAGGTAATAAATGAACTAGGTGATTGGATAATAGTATCGTTTACGCCGTTGATTATTTACGGAAATTGTGTCTTGGTGCGCCATGTTGATGATGTCTCCGAATTGAGTTCTAAATGTTTATTTTGCTAAATTTTGCAGGTGAATTAATTTATAGCATAATAATAAAGTTAAGTAGTATTAGTTTTGGAAACAAGAAGTTAATTAATTAAGTTGTTAGTAATTGAATTAATTAATAGATATTATATCATAAACATGTAGAGATAAATGAAGTGAATAAATTCGTAGTCAAAAGTCAAAATAATTTGAAGCTAAAAAAAAAAAAATCAATAATTTACTTTAGTAGAGTAGAATATTAATCACATATATTAGGTGTAAGTGTACCACAATCTATGTTTCTTAATTCTACTAGTATTCAACCTGTGCATTTGCACAAATATATAAATAAAATATTGTGAGTTATTTGTATATACATATAATGATTATTAATTTTTGTTAAATTTACAACTAAAGGAGCTGAAATATTTAAATTTTTAAATTGCGTTTATCATATTGGATATAATGTATATTTTGGTATGTATCTATTTTTGTGAATTACGTATTATTTATTTAGGATTTCAAATATGTTTTTTTATTTTCCGAAAGAAGTTAATTTAAATGTAACCACAACAATAACATCTACTCACATTAAATAGTCAACACATTATATGGTCAACTGTAAATAATTAGAAAATTTAAAATAATTTTTGTAATTTTAAAGTAATTAGTGTATTGATTACCTAATAATTAAATGAGAGGTTAAATGAATAAAAAGTAACGGTTTTTGGAGGGAAAAAATTATATTGCCACCTAGGTATAATTTAATAGGTTTTATTAAATGCTCATTGGCCAGTAATTATATATATATAGATGAGAGCTCTATTTTACCACCTTCTTAAGTTCCTCATTGTAGCTTATAAATACGCGTCTGCTCATAAATCAAACAGTTCTCTTGTCTTTGGATTACACGCCCCAAACGTGAGAGAAATGAGAGAGAAATGATGTTTTCAGATGCAATATCTTCATTTTTTTTTTCATCGGTAAATGGTAAAATATATAGATAAAAAATAGTATTACAACGGCCGTCGAACGACAAACAAAAAGCCAAGTGGGCAACCACAAGCTCAGTTCCTCACTCGCTAATCAAAATAATGAGAGGCAAACCACAGGTCGGTTGCTTAGCTCAAACCAAATCGTGACCATATATTAAAAGACTTTCCTGTCAAACTCGGTAAGTACATTCGAAAACACCGTGAATATTGTACGATAAACACGGGTTTGAATTTTACGTACCTCAAGGAGGTTTAGCCTAGCTATTTTCAAGGGCATTTCTCTTCACTTCGGCAAGGACATTCGGGTACAAAGCAAAGATATTCCGGTAGACATGAGTTTGGATTTTCCGAATGATGAGCTCCGGTAATTGGACTTCATTTTCGAATATCTTCCTATTCCGAGCATTTCAAAGGAAGTATACCTTTGACGCGAGCCCGACCTTCTTTGCTTTTGTTCTCCAACCGGAGCCTTGGGCATCCTTCTTATATTTATTCCGAGCATTTTCGAATATCTTCATTCTTTCTCCAACTGATAATGTGATATTTGTGAAAGGAAAACTTCTAAAGCCATTGCCCACCGAGACAATTGCAGAGGTGTTCGGAATACAACAGAAGATCTCAACTTCGTACGATATGTTCATTCAATCCCTTAGATCATATACTCATCTTTGAGTCTGACAAATTTAAAAGGTACAAATTTAATCTTAACTCTAGATACTTAGAGCTTAGGTTTATTTTTGTAGATTTCAAACATGCACATTGAGTGGCGTTTTTCACTTAACCTAACATCCTTCTCAAAGAAGCAAATTGATCTACGAAAGCTTGAAACTCACCTTCTAGCTGGGTACTCTCTCGAATAATCATCACCGGTAATGATTAATACCTCTCAAGCAGAATTTCAGATGCATCCAAATCAAGAAAGACAATCACAACAATGTTAAATTTCGTGAGCGAGGCTTGAAGGACAAATGGAATGGGTATACTCCTCCAACTAATAAAACTCTTTGACGATCAACATAGGACTTGCAAGTGACTGTTGCTTGCTTCTGGAAACCTCTTAGTGACATTCAGAAGGTTCAACCCTTGTTGAAAATGAAACTTCAGACATCGATGTACTAAGTTGGCCAACTAATTGGTGTTCATATAAAGGAGAGGATGGAACATAGGACTTAATTCATTCATTTTCGGACGTGAGAGTCATCGAAGAAAAAATAGATTGATTGCACTTGTTCAATATGTCCATAATTTCATCTAACAAAGTAAAGAATAAGGGTCTAGCTTTGAAGGTGATTGTTTCATCTTAGACTGAAGACAATGATGAAGAAGAATGTTCGTTGGAGGCAGAGTTGGCCAAATGCCGGGCCGGTTCATAACCTGGCCCGTCCCGACGGGTCGTTGGGCCTCAAATGCTTGGCCCGTAAATGGCCCGGCTATATCTAAGGGCCAGTTCATTGAACCGGCCCAACCCGACGGTTCATAAAAAAAAAAAAAATATTAGTTAACTGTGACCCGTCCAAAAACCCAGGCCCAGACCGGCGGCTAAAACACTAGTACAACACGACCCGTAACCGGCCTTTAAGGGGTTCCGGGCCGGTTCAAAACCGGCTAGAGCAAGCCGGTCCAAGGCCGGTTCACGGGTCGGGCCAACCGTGGCCATGTCTAGTTGGAGGAAAAACAAAAGTCTACACAGCTGATACATGAAGGAGCCGAGTTGCAGAAGCCGGGTTATTTTGGTCAAGAAGGGACCAACTTGTCAATATTAGTAATGTAAGGGCTGCTATACAGCTGATATATGAAGTCTCTCTTAACTTTATCAAAGTCCACTAGAACATTACGAACTTTTAGCTGCCGAAAAAAAAACAAAAAAAAAAAAAAA